TGCTGAACTGTATTTGAATGTAACAGTTTGTGCCAGCATAGTGGGATATACTCATGTTTTTGACTTCCAGTATGTCTGGATTTATTCTCATGACATAATTCTTCTTTTTGATTTATTGTTGTCTTCATACCTTATATCTGTCAAATAGTGGGTCGTTCGTGGGTGCTCTGATGCGGTTTGCTCCTTCTTTCTTATCAAACATCCGCCATACTTATGTCGCATCCTTCCTTTCTTTGTATTTTACTCACTACTGATGCTTTTAATTTTCGGCACTTATAATATTATGATGTAACTGTTGCTGCAAGTGCTGTAAACTCTTACTAAAACTAAAACCATCATTAGCCAAGTAGTTTTTTCAAAAATTGTACACACATGTAGTATCAAAAGTATAAACAATAATTCACCACAATATCTCTTTGCTCATACTCGGTCATAGATTTACATGTTTTAGACCTGTGTCTCAGCAGGTATTTGCATTTATTCACTTGTTTCTTTTAGTTAAAGGCAGGGATTGGCGAACTTTGGACAGGGCTGTGGACATCTGGACATAGAATGTGCAATATGAAACCTTACGTTTCTGATATTGTCTAGAAAATGCAGAATACAAAATTAATGTATAAACAGTCTGCGTCCTTGCTGTGAGTGTGCAGCCATAGGAACACAGGGCTTAGATTTCATGACACTGCTAAAGTTGCTATAATGACAATTATTTACTGAAGTGATCACTTTTAGTGAAATTTATTAATGTCTGGTTTTTAGAGATTTCATTGAATGCCTCAGCTGGCAGCACAAAACTCTATGGAGGGTGGCATTAATTTGGCCCGCTGGCCATAGTTTGCGCATCCTTGACCTGGGTAATGTTCCCTATTTGTTTTATTTAAGTTTAAACTTGGCTTTGTGGATGGTTGGTGGTAGGTAACCTTTCGCGCACAGACGTGGCAGAATGTGGCTCCCCTTGAGAGAAAACTCTATGGCAGTCTTTCAGAGTTGAAGCGAACTACACAGTTTGTACGCGACATCGGACTGACTGTCTAGCTGCTGTCATCGAGAACGAGGAAGAAGAAGGTGGTAGGTACTCTGGTGTGGAGTGCTCCTTCTTTCTAATTTAACATCTATCGTCGTACTTTATCTCTCCTCCATCTTTTCTTTTTGTATGTTACTCTTTAGCGGTAACATCTGTAATCTTGAGCACATAATGTATGACCCATTTGTGCTACAAGTGCCATAAAATTCTTACTAAAACTAAAAGTATCTTTCAAATTTAAAAAGGTAAACTAACATTCACATACAATCTTTCTCCTTTTATTGGTTAAAAAAAAGAATTTGGCAGCTTATGCGTCTCTTGAAATCTGCAATCGGTGTATAGACTTCATCTGTGAGGCAGCGTGGTGGAATCAGGCTCTCGTCAATTATTGGGCATGTAGAGTTATTGGTATCATCTTAAAGCTTCTTCACTTGTCTTTATTTCAATGAAATTAATATCCATTTAACTTGAATACAAGTCGAGATATTTGCGAAAGAAGGAGGTGGGGGTCACTTGTTTTCAGAAGTAAAATTAGTGCGAAATGGCCGCCAAAGATTAGTTATTTCCTTAGCTTAAGAGTGCGTGGTAACAGAAAATTTACATTTTTTGTTCCTTTAATCAATGTTTGAGAGAAAATTTCACACAGATATTAGTTCTTTAATATGCATGAAAGGTGTTGAGCCAAAAAACAAAATTTGATAAAAATTCACAAACCTGCGGAAAAATGCAAGTTTCTTCACTTTGAGTATTTTGACGAGAGCCTGATTCCACCACGCTGCCTCACCTATGATAGTGTACGGCACAGTGATTGCCTCTGCTGAAATATTGTTGGACGAGGCCTTAGATACCCGCGACTGGGGTGTAGCAGTTAGGCGCTTGGCTGATGCACGCAGGAGACCTGAGTTCGATTACTGAGTGGAGAGACATTGTTTTATCGATTATCTTGTTCTTTCTGCTAAGATGTATCCCTCGCAGCCCAGGTTATACCTAATAGGTAGGGTCAAAGCCCGCTCCTTAAACATGTCCCCGTGGTTTTAGGCACCCCGCATAATTAAGTATAATTTGATTATTTTTTAGCATAATTTCTGATTATTTTCCTATATCATTCTTTGTTAAAATTAACAGAATCACATAATTTCACGTTTTTGAGCTCAATCTGCATAATTTTAGAATTTTTCTTGTATAAAACGACGGGGGCAGCTAAACGATCTAAGTTGTGTCAGTGGGTGCGTTAAAACACCTACGTTTAAAAAAAGGCCTTTGATGTAGTTATGTAGCTGAAAGAGTTATTGTAAAACTGTGCCCACAGATGGTTTCTTACTAATAATGAAATAATGCCTCTTGGTATAGTTAGGTGTTATGGAATGCCATTTATTGCCCTGATATAACCCACACAGTTAAATAACATAATTATGTAATCGTATTATTATGTGAACAAATTCACCTTTGAAGCATTTGTCCAATATTTATTTTTACAGAAAGATGATGAATTTTAATAAAAATTTTCTCTGAATATAAGGTGTTAGTTGTTGTTGATGTTGTTGTTGCTGTTGTTACTGCTGTTGTTGTTGTTGTTGTTGTTGTTTGTATGGTATCTTATCTACCCAGTGTTGTCGTGGCTTTGCCAAGTTATTTGTTAACATAGTTACGCAGAAACAAGTGTTGGTGGTTGGCGGGTGCTCTGATGTGGTTTTGCTCCTTTTTTGTTAGAGTATCGTCTTTATCTTTCCCTCTTATCTTTGTAAGTTTCTTTCTAGAAGTGGGTGGGTGGCGGCTGTTCTGCTTTGGTTTGCTTCTTTTTTCCTATGAATCCTCCATAGTCTTCATCTCCTCCTACTTACTTTGCATGTTACTTTCAAGTAACACCTCTAATCTTTGGCACCCATGTGACCTGTTTGTGTCGCAAACTACCTGAATGGGTGACTGGCGGGTGCTCTGGTGTGGTTTACTTCTTCTTTCCTATCAAACATCTACTGTCCTTATCTCCCCTTCTTCTTTTTTATGTTTGTTACTCTCTTGTAACACCTCTAATCTAATCTTCTGGCGCTCATATGACCTTATGCAGTTGCGAGCGCCGTAAAACCTCTACTAAAACTAAAAACTAAAATGACGTAAAACTCTTACTAGTACAAACAAATCACCTTCTTGTCTTTGTATGTTACTTTCTACTAACACATTGTCTGAACTTCTGCACTTCTATGACCTGTCTTTGCTGTAAATGCCGTAAAACCCTAAATTCATTTTTTTTTTTTGGGGGGTTGTTATACGCTTATAGTTGAACAATGTTAAGCGAACTGATGGACCACATCAGGCTGGCTGTTGCCGGTTGTGGTGACTGAAATACAATGGTTAAGATTTAAGGCCCTTAACATCACTATTAAGTTATTTAAGAGGCGGGACCTTCGAGTTTAACGTCCACCTTCGAAAAAACAGAGCCAATCGGGAAATTCGTGTAAAGTTCCTTTCCCGAGGACATAACGTCGGACCGAGCAGAGGTTGGAACCCCGGGAACCTACAGTCTCACAATTACGAGTCTGGTAGCCCAACGTGATGACAAAGACAGGTGATGTGTCCACATCCTAGGCCCACACGTTGGTCTTCTTCAAACTGGTAGTCAGACCAAAGTCCTTCAAGCTGGTATCCCCCCGGGGCGGTGCCACTGACTGTAGTGTCTTTAGGCCATTCACAAAGGGGGGACATTTCTCGTTCAAGCACAGTAGAATTGTAAATGGGCTGATTCATCAATGTCACGCTCATAACTGTGCCTGATCTACAACAGGGAACTGCTGCTTTTTCTTTCCCAATCCTTACTATTGTCATTTTCCTTTACTTCTTTTGTGTGTTTGTCACTCTCTTGTGACCTGCTATTTCCGGGGTGCCTGGATAGTCGAAGCAGACCTTGTGCTGTTGAAGCTAGAGAGGTGAGCAAAGTATGTCTGATTCCCTGTAAGGACTTCTCTGTTGACACCCATCCCTTGGCGCTCATATGACCTTATGCAGTTGCGAGCGCCGTAAAACCCTCTACTATATATATATATATATATATATATATATAAAACAAGCAAACAAACAACTGGTAGTCAAACCTAAGTTCTTTAAACAGATAGTCAGACCAAAGTCCTTCTATCTGTAATCTGATAGCCAGACCAAAGTCCTTGCAGGCTGTGGGAGTGAATGGCACCACTGATATAATGTCCTACTTCTTATCTCTCCTTCTGTTGTTTCTGTCTGTCTTACTTTTTCCCAAAGCTAAATGACCATTATTATTGTGCCTATGTGCTTCTCTTTACTCGAACGAAACAAAACAAATAAGCTGATAATCAGACCAAAGTCCTTGCAGTTTCTGAATTTTGGTCAATGTATAGGTTTAACATCCCCTTTCAAAACTGTAAGGCGGGTGGTTGGAGGGTGCCATTTGTAGGTCCTCCTTCTTCTTTTCTTTTTTCTGTCCTGCTTCTTCCGTTGCACTAAATAACAGTTATTGTGCCACTGTGCTTCTATTAATTAAAATTCAAACACTGTTAGACGGTTGCAGCTTTTCTCGTATTCTGTCATTCTCTATACTATAATATTGCCATTCACTTTCCTTTGGTAAGCCGAGCTCCTTCCAGGCTGAGATCTTGCCGGAAAATGTTCCCTGGAAGAGGATCTGATTAGCTTTGTTTCCCCTTTTTACTAATTGGTTAATACAGTTTTTCTGTTATTCTTTTTCTGTTGTCATTACGAAATCGTGCAAGTTTTAACGAGTGGCTGGCAGGTGCTCTGGTGCGGTTTGCTCCTTCTTTCTCATTAAACATCTACCGTCCTTACCTCTTTTCCTTCTTTTCCTTCTTTTTTTGTGTTTGTTACACTCAAGTAACACCTCTAATCTTTAGCACTTATATGCCCTATTTGTGTTGCAAGTGCCGTAAAAACTTTTACTAAACAAAAGACTTATTGAGCGTACAATTCTATAATAAGTAAAATTCTTCTGTTCTTGTTGCCGTTTTAACGTATTCTTTATTTCTCTATATTATTATCATCATTCTCTTTCGGTCGCTAATCGGAGCTCTCCCAGGCTGTGCTCTAGCCGGAAAATTTTCCCTGGAAGAGGATCTGTTTGGTCTGGTCGTCCCGGAGGAAGAACAGGAAGGGGTGGTCAGCCCGGAAGTAGACCATGTCCGGGGGCGGCACCAAGAGACTGGTGGCCTCAATGGAGACGGCGGTGGTGGCAGCGGCCGTGGTTCCAGTCTCTTTCACTTCGATCATGGCTTGGTGGATGACTGAGCTGATGTATGTCTCTTTGGCTGAGGGAAGATAATGGGGGAGGGTGGGAGGGGAGAGGGGGAAGGAATAAGATGGTTGTGGGGGTAAGAGGGGGGAGGAGGAGAGTTAGGGGGAGGGAGAGACAGAATAGGAGAGAGAATGAGAGAGAAGGGTG